GAAGGCCCAGTTTCCTTCACTGGAGCGCTTTTAGATGTCTCAGCAACTCAACGACGACGGAGGGAGGTTTTTCACATGAGTTCTGCCGAGGTTCCTCTCACACTCACCATAGAACAACAAATCCTGAAAAGTTTAACATTGCTACTAAAATTCAAGCCCCCATTCAGTTTTATAATGCATCATAACTAGGTTAATGCTACCAGAGCTGATGGAGGCATATCAGGGTATTAGTACTTACTGATGTTTCCCATTTCACTTTGTAACACTGGAGACCCCATAACTTTAGTATTGAAAATTGTACATGCCATGCTACCAGATTTAGACAATCTTGTTAGTGTCTTATTATTCCAGATTCCATGTCACTGTGTGAATCTCTCTGCTGTATTCAGGAATACTCATAAAGATCAGTTGTGGCTGCTTGTGATTTAAATGGAACAGCAAAAGCTTGGCTACCAGTAAGCTAGACAAAGTCAAACTCCCTCACCCAGTTATTATCCTTAAATTTAAAACGCGGACTTGCAGTATTTTCTGTAGATTATAAAGTTTTTAGTACCATTTGCTTTTTGCAGTGTTTGCCTTTCCTGAAATGGTGCTTCCAAGCATATCCATAAGTGGCTGGCAAAGCATTAGAACGGATTGCAACAGCCATTGTAGATGATTTCCTATTTTAGACCAGGAATTTGTGGGGTCAAACCCTGAACAATGAGAGATTCTTGCTCACTTGAGGCCAGAACAATCCGGTGGCAGTTGAGGGTTTGAATTGTAAATCAAGCTTGTCATCTCCTTGTCAGCTATGGAAACCTCAATTCACTTTGCGCATGATTAGGGTTTTTGTTGTTTTCCAAAAATTTGATGGGAAATTAGACTCATGAGGCATTTGTTGTAGTTGAGCATTGAGTCTGAATTTTGCAAAAGAGGAACAAATATTAGCACTATTTAAAACCTACTCAATGGCGGGAGCATCTGCTACAATTCTGACTGCTTGGTTTCTAACCAATGCAACAGGGTCATCCTGTTTGACAAAGTGTGCTCTATAGGGTCATGTATGACCTGCACATAGTTCATAGGCTGGATGTTAGTGGTGACTGGCAATATTAAGGGATTGGTTTATAATGAATTAATATATTTTCCTATGAAATTGAATGAAAATTAGCTTTTTCAACCAAAAGCAACTTTGCTTTTCCTCCAGAAAATATGGGGCAATTTCTTCTCAGGATGTAACAAGGACAGGTGGAGTGAGTGCTTTGCACAACCCCTTGCCTTACTGAAAATTGGATTTTGGGCAAAAAAAAAAAAAAAAAAAAAAAGCTCAAAAATCACTGCCTCAGGAACAGAAAACAGGTAGGCTGTTTGGGCTAGTTTATTGTGATGATTCAGGATTCATTGCCCATTCCACAAATGTTTATTGAATGCCTACTATGGAAGCTTCATCCAGTGGAGTCCAGGATACAGCGATGTCAAACCAAATTTGGCTTATTAAAGATCCCAGCCAATAAATCAACAGGATGGGAAATCATCGGATGAGGCCCGACTTCTGAGGACCAAGGGTGGATCAACCCAGCTAAAATCATGTCTGAGTAATTTGCCCCACTTGATGGGTGATAAAAGAATCTATGCAGGGCTTTAGTACGAGTCAGTTTGAAAGAATAATTATTACAATATGTGCTAGAAAGGAGACCATAATAATGCACCATAAAAATAAACCATGGCTCTTGACTAATACATCAAGCCAAATCAAACTGGCTGATAAAAGTAACGAAGCCTCCGTGGTAGAGTGGTACCATTTAGTAAAATTATTGCAGACACCTACAATTAGAATTAGCAAGGGAGTGTTATTTGCCAAAGATAAATGTGGGAACCTGGGAGCATCACAATAAAGCAGTTGAGGTTTATACACTCATCTACACACCCACTCACCTTCAACCTCATTAATCACTTAAACTTATATTAGCAACGGCCATTCTACCTTACGACTTTTATTTCAGTGTTATGTTGCCAAACTGTTTGGTCCAGAGCATGTAATAGATTGATACAGACTCATTTATGCCTTTTAAAAAATAAACTAATAAAATGGCAATAGGAACTCAGTAGGATCTATTGATGACTAAATTATAAATGGTTTGGGGACAGACTTGGTATTTCTCATGAGGCACGATTCTTTCCCCGACATGTCTCAGTGGATATCAGATTGCATGATCGTATTTCTCTAAATGTAATATCCACATCAGGGAGGCTCAATCAGGCAGGGTAATCTATAGAGCTGAGCTTTGTCATAGCTCCAAGTATTATCATCGTAGTATGTTTCCAAGGTATTTGGTGCGGCTTATATGCAAATTGTAATCAGTAAGTAAGATAAAGTAGCCAATGTGGATAGCAAACAGAATTGCTAAGGTATTAGCTAATGGCCTTGAATTTATGGGGAATTCAGCATTTTGGGGAGTCCAATTTGGGAATGGAATTGTGATTAGAGTAGAAAAGACTTCTGTCTCATACTTGTGCGCCTGAGTTTTGTCAGTCCCTTTCCTCACTTTGACTTATTAATGAATCTCCTTAAACTTTTAGCAGCAGTATTTCTAGTTTCTACAAATTCTGCTTCTTGGACATTAATTATTGTCATTAATTACTACTTTCCAATGTAGACCACAAATGTATATGTACAGAATTTTCCCATTTTACGTCTTCTGATGTTAATGTTGCTAAAAGGGCTTTTTAATATTAGAAAATAAAGCTGTCAAGAAGTATTTAAGAAAAATTCACCTAAATAAATAAAGGAGTAATTTATAATTTTTGTAAACAGAGAATAATTAGGGTGAGATTCCAATCACACTTGCCCCAGACCTCTCCTAATTTCATACATACGTTATTCATCCCTCTTCTCCATAGTAGGCCCCCAACAGAGCTGTAATAAGACACAGGCATGAGGGAGTTGAACACGGATAGTGACACCGCCCTGTAAAGCAGGGGACACTGAGGCATGAAGTAGTAAAATGATCCAGGAGTGGTCAGCTAGACTGCGCCCACAGAGGCAGAGAAGTTCCAGGAAAGGAAAACATGACATATTTAATGAATGGATAACCTAGTTACTTGGTTTTATAGTCCACCTTAAATCAAAATCATTTCTCAGCTTTAAAATCACTCTTTAGTTTGAGACTTAGAAGTAAATTGTTAATATTCGCAGTGGGGGAGGGATGCTCTAAGATCAGCAACAGGGAAATCAAGTGAATAATGAGCCACCAGAAGTTATTTTATTTTTCCTCAGACAAGGGCAGCGGCAAGACTCCAATGACATTTATGTTTTCTCTACTCCATCTAAATATAATGCAGTGACTACAATTACAAGAAACATCTTATAGGTATTATGAATAGAGGAGAGGCATTCAAAGGGTTCAAATACTAAGAAAGGGCAAGGTATGAAAAAATGTAAATATGAGTTGAGTTCATCATCACATATTGTATGGATAGTAATACATTTTCGAATTCTGTTCAATAAATGTGTACAACCCATGAGAAATCCTGCCGAGAGTGAAAGGGTACTATTCTGTGAAAATTGCATACTTTGAAGAGAGTTTATAATTTTTAAACTTTATGGATTTTTTTAGTATGTTAGTAATAGTGTAAAAGAGCTCTGACTTTGTGTTTCAGAATGAAAGTATGCATATATATTATATTATATATAAATAATGAAATAATTTTCAGAGGAAAAAGTACAGAGATGTATTAAGCAGACTTTTTTTTTTTTTTTTTTTCGGAACTGGGGATTGAACTCAGGCCCTTAGCACTTACCAGGGAAGTGCTTATTCTGCTGAGCCATCTCCCTGGCCACCCACCCCAGACTTTGTTTTGGTGGCAAGAGGATGAAAGTTCCTTCAGCTAAGGGTCACTTTTGCCGTGACTCTATGCAGAACTCTCTTCCACAGTGAAGGTGCCTTGGCAGACTGTTTACACTCAGCTAAAGTAGCATTTTAATGAAACAAATTGCTTTCGGTGTACAGAGCAAAAGTAGTAGCTCTTAATTCAGTACTAGAGAATGTACCATTAACAGCAGATGTAACATATATACTTTCAGCTCTAAAATTGATTTTTTAAAGTGAGTCTTAAAAAACTAAATTGTATACCTTAAATTTTCACAGTACTTCTATGATTTTTTTCAAGATTTATGTGGCTATGAGGATCACTATGAAACTGTATATACTGTGTTGGCTTTAGAGGATTTGCAAAAATAAGCTATAGTCAAATTTTGCCCAGTGGACATTTAAAATGGAACCTTCATCTGAAAAGACTGTAGTATAATTTAGCATATGTCTGATTATAAGATTTTTCTCCTTAGAACTATTTTATTCTGGATAATTTATCTAGATTAAAAAAGGCAGCAGTCCTAGTCTTGTGTTAATTTCAGGTCAGTTTACAAAGTTCAATAACAAAATTTCCAAGGTGCACTTGCTGGCTTGGATAATTTTTGCTGGGACTTCACTGAACGAGCAGAAAAGGAATGACAGACTGCAAGTAGACACTGAATAGTTTGATAAACTCCTTCCAGGGTTAATTTCCTTAGCTCGGAAATTTTCAAACTTGCTGGGTTGATCCTGGGGCAATCATTGGACGTGTTGTTTGGAGTTGACCCTCACTCTGAGGACTGGTGTCCCATTGGCTGTTGTCTCTCTTACTGTCCTAGTGATCAGCCTCAAAAGCTTTCAGTGAGGACAAGAGGAGCGGGTATATGTTGCCTCATAATCTCCTGTGAAGGTGGATTCTACCTGGCAATCACATCTGCCAGGTGTATTTCGGCACCCACAGGCAAGATTTCCAGAGCAGCATCTCTACAACATTTTCCTTCAGTATGACAGCACAATAGGAACGCAGACTAAGGGTGCCAATGGCCTTCAGCAAAGCAGAGTTTGGGGATTGGTCTGGAAAGGGCCTCTGAGCCATTGTCTCAAATGGAAGCAGGTGATATTCATAAGTTTCTGTTTTCCTTCCTTCCTCTCCTTCTGATCCTTCAGATTTATGAGGAATCCAAGATGAATTTGGAGCAGGAGAGGCCTTTCGTCTGCAGTGCCCCCGGATGCTCCCAGGTGAGTGAATGTCTCCTCCCCGCTCTGGCTGGCTCTGCCTTCTGACAGGAAAGCAGCCCTCACCTTGCGAGTGTGCCCAACCCGGGCTTCCCTGCTTTACCAAGGGCCTTCCACACCAGTGTCATTACATTAACATCTTTTCCACTACTATATTCCCCTTTAAATAGTTTGAACTGCCCCTCCCCAATCTGACAACTTTGGACATTTCCACTTGCAACTTCCTGTGGAACCGAGCCAGCGGCATCCTGCCACCAGCTCACTACACAGCATTGTCATTTCAGAAAGGGGAGAACGGGTGGCTAGGCCCATGGGGTACTGGTAAAATGACTCATCATCTTTTTTAATACTTTTTTTATTTAAAAGAGAACAAAAATAAGAAAATAACCAATAAAAATGAGACAAAATTTCTAAACAAGATGATAGGAAATGAACAATGGTTGTTATATTACATATTGTTATCTTAAAGTAGTTGTCCAGATTACCAGATATAAGCACATGAAATTGGCTGGACAACTAAGCATTAACTATTTCCTTCAATAAACCAACAAAAATTAGCAGTACAGTTATCTTAGCTATAGTGTATGTGTGTGTGTTTTCTCCCCCTTTCCTTCTTTCTTTTCTCTTTTCCCCACCCCAGTTATTCTTTCCTTTTGAGTAGTTTCTTTCACTTTCACAGTATGTATTGTACCTTTCAGATTTTATTTACTCTTTCAGTTTCTTGGATTTTTTTTTTTTTTTTTGGTGGAACCAGGGACTGAACTCAGGCCCTTGCCAGGGAAGCGCTTATTCTACTGAGTGATCTCCCTGGCCCTTCTTTCAGTTTCTTACATGAGGAAGACAATATGAAGTTTACACATGTGAATCTGATTTATTTCACTAGTGGAGTAGTACTCAGATAGAAAGATTAAACTCCAGGCTTTTATAGGTAAATGGGTGCAGCCATCAGAATTTAAGTTTTATCTCTTTTTTGTTTTATCTCTGAGTAAAGGAACCCCCCTCCCACCTTCTAGAACTTATACTCTTGGTTCTTACAGCTCTTACCAGTGGGCCTAGGGTGGGGATCAGGTGAAATCCTGCCTGCAGAGTGTTTTATACAGAACCTGCATGAAAAGAGCACTCTATCATTATCCATCCTCATTACTATTATTGCTGGTGCTGCTAACACTGTTACAATGAAATGTAGTTCTTTCAAAGGAATTAGAAATGCTCATTACTCCAAATCAGAGTTTTGCATTTTACCTTTGGAACATGATGATGATTTTTTCTACTCTTGACCTTTGCCTGTCTCCATGTTCTAGCTTCTGTGTGCATGGAAAATGACCTTGCATGTTCTCTTTCATGCCCAGAATCTTTACTTATGGAATATAAGCCAGGTTTAGAACTCAGAACATAGGCATTTTGCTAAGTTGCACAAACCCCATCAGGTGGCTATTTATGCAATGCATTGGCAGTCGTGAGTGGAGCGATGCCGAGGAATCAGGTGAGAGGTAAGGCCTATTAAGGACCATCCTTATTATAGTACTTCCCTGGAGAGTTCTGGAGGATTCTGGGAGCCTTCTGAAGGGAAGAAGTCATAGAAACACAAGATGTTATTGCCAGTATTATCAGCTACTAACTAAGCAACAAGAGTGCTCTGCTCAAGTTCTGGAAATTTCACCAGGATCTTTGTGCCAATGTTTATTTTCAACCTGTAAATAAGAAAAGCAGTAGAGAAAATTATGTGGAGGCCAGCTTGTTGAAAGACACAGAAACCACTAGGAAAACACAGGTTGATAAGTAACTGCTAAAGGAGGAATCTCCAGGGAGAATGAGGAGCAACACCTTACTAAGTGAAAAGTTAGTCTCTAACTAAGATACAACTGACTCCCACTTAGTTTCTGTAAAGGGAATTAGGTACTTTACAAGTTATCTTTGCTATGACAACGGGACATTACATTTTATTCAGTTTAAGTTACTCAGCATACATTTTTGGGAGCCCAGAATGGGTCAGGCTCTCATTTCTTGGAGAAATAACATCTCAAAAGGCACATATATCCCTATATTCAGACGGCTTCTAGTCTAGGTATCAAATCTATATCCCCAAAATCAACTAGCTCATTATTTATTCTATTTTGGCTTCCACAGAAGAAAGACAATAGGTCACAGAATAAGGGGTCTGACTTGGGGAAGTAAGTGGAAAGATACTCTAAGGAAAGAACACTTCATGAGAGGAGATATCCAGAGAGCCAGCTAAGGCAAAAGAGGGCTTAGGGTAGACTAGCAGTCAAATCAATGTCAAAGGCTGTGAGTGATGGTAGAGGAGAAGATTTCAAGGAGGAACAAAGGCCAGGTGTGGTGGTAAGTTCCTGGAATCCCAGAAATTTGGGATGCTGGGACACTAAGATCACAAGTTTTTGTTCTATTAGTGTATATTTGCAGTACACAATGATTACACAGAAACAATGGGCTAATAAATAAAATTATTATTTTATTTTGTGGAACCAGGAATTGAACTCAGGCCCTTGCGCTTGCCAGGCAAGCGCTTATTCTATTGAGCCATCTCCCCGGCCCCTAAATAAAATTATTGAAGGCATAGAAGTACGCAAGGACTTGCTGAACAGAACCCCAGTTGCATGGAAAATAGTACCAAGAACAAATGAGATCATATCACATTAAAAAGCCCCTGCACAGCAAAATAAATGATCAACAGAAAAAGCAATCAACTTGCAGAATAGGATTATGAGTTTAAGGCCAATCTGGGCATCATAGCAAGACCCTTTTGGCACCCACTCAGAAAAAAAGGATCCTTGGTCATGGCTAAAATTTACAGAATATTAGGAAATAAAGGAAAGAGAACCTAGAACTACACCCAAGTCATCAGACTAGTATGACAAAATTCCCCAAGCTTGGCAGCATTGTATTTAGGACTGAATAATTACTTGCAGGCTATCCTGTGCAGTGTGGGACATTCAACAGCAGCTCCAGCTTCTGCTCTCAATCCCAGTAGCACTCCACAATTGTGACAAACAAAAACATCCCCAGACCTTGCCAGAAGTGCCCTGGGAGGCATATTTGCCCCTGGTTGCGAATGACTGTCGATAGATTGCATGTTGGTTTTAGTCTCACTTTTTTTTCTTTTGAGCTCACCTCCTTCTAATTGATGTACTATCTCTCTATTTTATGTATTCCTTGAAGCCATCTTCTCTCCTTCTGGGCGTCAGAAAGGGTATAAATAAATTTATGCCACAGACGTGCGGTCACTGGCGTTAGACACTGGGAAAGCCGGGACAGTTAAAGGACGGGGCAGAGGCTGTTGGGTTTGGCAGGAGAGGGGTGAGGCCAGATTGCAAGGGATTAAAGAGCGAGTGGGCGGGAAGGAAGCGGAGGTGGCAGGCATAGAGGGCTCTTTCAAGAGCACAAGGCAGTGACGGGAAGCGGAGTGATCTAATGGGAGCCTGAGACGGAGGCAGCATTTTTAAAATGAAAGGATAGCCAGGCTAGATTTAGTCAAGGGAAAGGAACCAGTGCACAAAAAGGAAAGGGTGGTCATGGGCACTCTGGGGACCAATGCCCTGGAGAGAGCGATGTTGTGTGTTCAGAAGGTGCAAGCTTGTACATGGCTCTGAGACGGGAGGAAGCAGAAGGGAACGCATGAAGTAGCATGCAAATTCTGAGGTGTAGGAGGTAATGAAGGCTGAATAGGATCTATTTTTAAATTATAAATTAAAAAGCATTGTATTTAAGGTTTTGCAGTGCTGAGGGTTGGACACAGGGTCTTGGGCATGTGAGGCAAGCAGGCTACCAATGAGCCTGTACCCCTGAATAGGATCAGTTGTGAATGACCTTGGCCGTCTCCGTGGGGGAGCAGATTGTTTCTTTAAGGAGGCTGAGTGGGCTGAGAAAAAGGTTGGACAAACACGAAGAAAGAGGATTTACAAAGATTTCTTGATTTTAATGGATCACTCAAAGCCTTCTTGCCTCTGAGTTTTAATGGAAAAAGATACATCTAAAACTTAATGTCTTTACTTGAGGTAGAAGCATGTTATTCTTGACAGGTTATTATAAAAGCATAGCCATCTTTCAGTCAAAGAGGGGTTAGAATTAAGAAAATATGGTAGTCACCCAGGAGTCGGGGAGTCTTCTGGTGGGATGTTAGCAGCTCACAATTAGGTCAGTTGTGATCATGGAATGTACTTTTGTGTTGTCCAATAACCTGGGAACTTACGGGGAAAAGGAGTGCTGAGAATTGGACAGAGGAATGCTGGGAATTGGAAAGAGGAATGCTGGGAATTGGAAAGAGGAATGCTGGGAATTGGAAAGAGGAGGACTATGAAGCAGACTTCCGTTCATTTCAGAAATCTGGTGTAATTACCATGCTTTGCAAAATTTTCCTTTCTAATTTGTGTGATATAAAAGAGAAGTAAATAAATAATGTTTATGCAAAAAACTACGTCTAGACTATTTTACAAGATTTAGCTCCGTGAATGTCACCATTCTCTGATGTCCTTATATTATTTACAGAAGTGATTTCTACTGTAACATACACAGTTGAAACTTTCCTGAGGAATTGAAAACTGATTTTTGTAAATTACTATGGAAGATTTGGAAATGTCCATCAAAATTTATTCTTTTGCTACACTTTTGATGTTGCTGAAACAGATTTTTAGTTCAATTCAGTTATTACAAACAACAATCAGAGTCAGGTTAGGCCAGCATATGTTACCCTGATGAGTTACCCTAAAGCTTTAGTGGTTTAAAATATCAAAGGCTTGTTTTGTTACACCAGGATACATTCTTTTGTAGAATGGCAGAGAGCTTTTTGTAATCTCTAAAAATTAATAAGTATTCCTTTTAATCCTTCAGAGATGTAGGATGATTGAGGGCCGCCATTTCCAATATTTAGAGTCCCCATGTACATGAAGAGTGGAGTAGAGGAGCGGCAGAGGCTTTTACCCCAGCAATTCAATGCTTGCTTCTGGATAAGCAGCTACCTTTATTCCTGACTCAGCCGGGACAGGCAGTCACATGGCTCCACCCAGCACAAGAGGGACAGAAAATTCAGTTCCAGTGAGTGAGCAAGAGTCAGACAGAGCACAATATTTGGAAGCAATATTTTTAAGAATCATAATGTCGATCCCTGAAAATTAAAATAGAATATGGATTTTGTGTTCAATACACAGTTTAGAATACTAAAAACAATTTGTCATGTTACTATAAAATTGTATGTATGATTATAAACAAAATCAGATAATGGGTAGGCCAGATCTTTGTAAGTAGAAACACACCACACAAATGTCATGGTGTGTATTTGTAGATATGTCAAATAATTAAGCATGGTATATAATTCTTTGCCCAAATCTGACATGCAGCCAAATGTTATGCATTTCTCCTACTTTTGGTTAATCTATAGATAATGTCTAGCATGCTTATCATGCCTTAGACTTAATTTCACACTATTATGTAAAACAGTAACTACCAGAGAAAAGTTCCACATGGTCTTGCCAACTCTCAATGCTATTCAGGTCTAAACTCACTCTCTTATTTGGAAGTTGTCTTTTCATATTCATAAGAAGAAGTAAGAAAAGTGTAGTTTTTCATGTTGCCAGTATCAATTTTTTTTTGTTACCATAAGTAAATACTCATTTCAAGCCACTTCCCCCCTTTTATAAGAAGCCGCTTGGTATTAGGCAGTATTAGGGCATAACATGTTTTACTGTATACAAGGAGTGGTGCAAATATACAGTAAATATTTAATTTTTTTAAATTAAACTTTTACCATATTTTGTGATCACACCTCACTATGTTATTTACCCATTTCTTTTTATCTGTGAGCTACACGCAAAGTTTAAAGGCTATCCTCAAATGCAAACTTCTAACTCCTAAAGAAATACATAATTACCAAGTAGTCAGCATATCTGGTTGCATTGAGTGACTAAAGAAATATAGGCCTTTGAATAGTCTCCAGGAGGGTGTGGGGAGTCAGAGAATGGCTAAAGACAAAGATGTTCTTAATACTAGTGCTTAGTCAGATCCTTCTGTCATATAGGTAAGATCTTCGCAAATTGTACTGGAAATTACAATGCATGTATTTGCGTGTAATTGAAAGGAACATACCAGCACACGTGCTTCCTTCAAACAGCTTGTAACTCTACTTATATTTTCACACTTTATAAGGCTGAATTTTTTGTTTTGTAAATCTGTCATTTTTACAATGCTGAATGCTTGTCTTTAGGGTGGCAAATATGTGCTACAAAACTGAATGTCTTCTCTTGTTCTCTCTCTCTCTCTTTTTTCTTATTTATCCAACAGCGCTTCCCAACTGAGGACCATCTAATGATTCACAGACACAAGCATGAAATGACTTTGAAATTTCCCTCCATAAAAACAGACAGTATGTTATCAGGTAAGGAGCCACTAGGCAAAGAGACTCTGAATGACCAGATCAGTTGCGTGCAGGGTACTTACTCTCTGTTTTGTTCCCATGGACAAATCTGCCCTTTGAAAACATACCTAAGTACATTGAAGAACTATGCCTTTGCATTTTTCTGGAACATGAACTATCTACTATAGTGAAACTTGGCTCCATGTAAGTTTTTCTTTTTTAAAAAAAATCATATACAACAGATCATTCAAATAGTACTTTTTTTTTTTTGGTAATCAGGGATTGAACTCAGGCCCTTGTGCTTGCCAGACAAGCACTTATTCTACTGAGCTATCTGCCCCCCTTTTTTTGTGCAACCAGATATTGAATAGTACATAGGACATATTAATTGAGCATTTATAATGCATATTGTTACCATAGCACATGCAGATTGATTTGCTTTTGATCCTTGAGGACATCATGATAGAGCTTATATTTGAAAAACTTGCAAAAATACTGTAGAGGTTCTATGAGTATATATCAAATGAGTGTTGTACAGCAAAATGCTATGCATCTTTTGTGAAAGAAGCTTTCTGTCCTGAGATAGTCAGTGAAGTTTGCTTTAAAAACCATACCTAGTTCAAACATGGGAGAGATTAAATGAGATCATACGTGGAAACATAGCAAATGCTCAGTAAATATGAGCCCAAAATTAATAATAATAGTGGTTTGTTAATTACTTGCCATTCCTTTACATTTGAGAGGCAGTGCTGTGAATTAGAGAGAGTGAAGGTGGAAGGGCCCGTCAAATAGCCCAGTGGATTAAAGCACCTGCTTAGGCAGATGCAGAGGCTGGGAGTTTGATCCCAGGACCTGCTGTGCTGGACCTGCCCCTGAGGCATGCTGAGACAGTGATTGAGACTGGGTTGTGGTGGCGTGCACCTGTAATCCCAGCTCTTGGGAGGATCACTATGAGGCCAATCTGCACAGTGAGACCCTGTACACCCTGTCCTGAATACAAAATAAATAAATAAAGAGAGAGAGAGAGAGAGAGAGAGAGAGAGAGAGAGAGAGAGAGAGAGAGAGAAAGGGTAAGAGTAGAGATCTGAACTCTAGCCTGGACTTTGCTTCTTCTGGACATATGACTTCTGGGCTTCAATTGCCTTCCCCATAAAATGGAATGATTGCATCTGCCCCTTCTATTTCACAAGTTCATAAGAAAACTCAACAAAAGAGTGTCAGACAGTTTCCTAAACCCCAGAAGGGGATACTCTCATGGTTTCAGATAGTTCTCCCTGGGATCATGAAAAAAGTAGCACATCTATGAACACATTTGAATTGACATCAGGAGAGAAACTGACTTCTCTGGCAGATGTGACCTATATGATTTAGCATTTCAATGCCACAGGGCAGGGAGATGGCTCAGTAGAATAAGTGCTTGCCTGGCAATTGCAAAGGCCTGAGTTCAATCCCCGGTTCTGCCAACCCCCGCCCCACCAAAAAAAAAAAAAAAAAAAAAAAAAAACCCAAAAAACTAAACAAACCAAAAAGCATTTCAATGGCTCTTAAATTTTATTTGTTTTATTATCAGTATCATGAGTCAATCTTCTGAGTTGTCAGATTATTATTGGCTGCTTTCCTGAGTCAGCAAACAGGGCAAGGCAGATAGCGCAGACCCATTGACTATATGGTTAGGCTAAGCTGTCCCCACAACTTTATGGACCCACCAGGGACTTGATAGTACCTAGAGGAAGATTCGCATTCAGCAGTGTGCTCTGCCCTTCCTTCTATCACTGTTCACCTTGTCTGTCTCAGCCCCTGTTTGGTTTGCTATTAGTCAGCTCCCCAGCTACCGCTTCAGCCTTCCCGAGGTCTGCAGAGCTTCCTTTTATAAGCATTAAGAAAACCTAGAAGGGTCTGGAAAGGATGACTTTTCATTTTGCTTTTGTCAATTATTGTGTCCTGTTATGTAGTATAACTTAGTGGTTCAGCACTGGACTTAGATATAACAAGGCTGTGCACTTTGCAATCCCCAACTTTTTAAATTCTTAAATTCTTCCTTCATTTTTCCCAAATTAAATTCCTAGAGTAGGCTGCCTGGTTGCAGAGGAGCAGGAGGTAAGTATTAGAGAGTGGCACATGTGTAGGCTCCTGCCAACACAGGGGTAAGCAGCAGTGCAGTGGTAAGCGGCAGACTGCTAGTCTACCGTTACATGGAGCCTTGAGTGCAGATCTGGAATTAAAAATGAGCAGCTAAAGATTTGTGACTAATGAGTGAAACGTTCCTCTACATAGTGCCTAAAATAAGCTATTGATTCATCTCTTGCAACTTTTTGGTTGTTTTACCAGATCCTTCTTAGTTTGTGGCTGTTGCTGCCAGTTGCTGGAAGTGCTAAGTTGTAAGCTACTAGGAGAAAAGGAACTCTAATTTTTATTATGTCCAATTTGGAAAAACAATGGATGGAGAAACAAATGTGAAACAGAAGAAGACAATAGACTTATACATATAGTTGGTATAATTACCAGCTTCTATGTGAAGCGGCCATTCAACTTGAATACCATGGTTAAGTTTCAGAATAGAGGTAAAAAGATGTTTTTCAATTTATTGTAATGCTATCATGATTAAGCACCAAGGACTTCCCAAATCTGACCTTGTTAAATATCTCTACCTCTACCTTTTAAAAGCAGGGCTCTCAGGTTTGGTACAAGAAAAAAAATGTAAACAAAAACACAAAACAAGTGAAGCTTCATAGAGCAACTTGATTTACAGCTGCGAAAATAGTTTATATTCCACATGAAAATTCCAGTTGAAGAACAAAAAGAAACTCAAAATTTTTAACTTTTGTGAAGCACGGGGTCCTTCTGCAGTGTTTCTTCCTCCCTGTGGTCCATCTAGGAGCATGTTGTCTCTCCTGTGCAGACAGAGGAAGACAGGGCCGTCCTCCAAAGTAGAGCTGCATGTGCCTGGATGGCCCCCGATATGTGGGATCAGGCCTTTGGACCCCACTTCCCAGCATTGTGGCCCAGTGAATGTTGCAGACAACTGGCCCGTGTATAGGAGGAAGTTGGGGCAAGCACCAGTCCAGCTGTGGGCAGAGGGGTCGGAGTGGCCCTTCCACCACCAACTATTACTTCATTCAACATCTATTGGTTGCCTACAAAGATTATTTGGGGCTAGGTGCTGGATATTCTACAGGGAATCACACATATGAGCTCCCTCTTCTCATGGGATTTACTACACTCTAGGGGGGTGTGGATGAAGCATGATAACTAAAAGACTTAGGTAAGGAAACAAAGAAATACCAGTAAATAAAATAAAATGGCAGAAGGCCACCTAATGGTGGATAGTTAGGAAAGGCTTCTCAGCATTGGAGCTGAGACCTGATGCTTAGCACTGTGGATTCAGGGGTCCCTGCTCCTTGACTTATGAATACAGTGGGACTGGGTGTGGTGAACCTGTTGGGAGTGAGATGAACACAGCCAGCTGTATCTGGAGCTGAGGCCCAGATGAGAGGAAGGGGACTTTGTGCCCTCACCTTCCTTGTCAGACTCCCGGCACTCACCTTTTAACACAGATGATCAGATCGTCCTTCAGATCCCAACTGTGTGCTCAGACTAGGGCTAGGATCAGGGCCTGTCTCTAGTTCTGGGCTCTAAACCTCTTTGTTACCATGGAGAAAGCAAGAATGTGATGTAATGAGGTGGAACGTTGGTCTCTGAGAAGCCGTTCATGATCCTGCGTACTCCCAGATCCACTGCTCATGGCTGTTTGCCTCAAACTCTATTCCGTAAGTCATGGAACATTTGAAGATGAGCTGGGCTATTTTAAAATATATTAACCAAGTAAATAAATCAATCTCTGTCTCTGTCTCTCTCCCTCTGTGTGTGTGTGTGTGTGTGTGTGTGTGTGTGTGAGTCTGTCTGTTTGTCTTTGTGTCTATCTCTCTCTGTCTCTCTGTCTCTCTCTGTCTCTCTGTCTCTGTCTCTCTGACTCTGTCTCTCTGTCTCTCTCTGTCTCTCTCTCTCTCTCACACACACACACACACACACATTGTCACACAAACATGGCCTATACGTACAAATTATATAGTAACTTCCCACTTCGCAAATCAGTTGGATCTTTGTGGAACAGAGGGACAGAGGGTGGTGGAGGTAGTCTGTTCCAGAGGGCAGCACAATAATAGTAATAGCTATTACTTTTTCCTTACTTTACGCCTATAATTGTGCTCCATACTCTATAGACCATATGTTATCTACTACTCAATATTTTTTCTATATGAGGCAACAAGATAAAAAAGAAAAGTAGTTGGTCCAAAGTTTTTGCATGTCTATAAATTTCTTACTATATGCCTAGATTTGGTGAGTTACACATACTAAGAACATGTACCTATTTTTATGTTATTTATTATTTTTTAATGTATTTGGCAGAAGTGTTGTTTTTTTTTTTTTTTTTTTTGCTCTGAATGCCTTCAAGGCATGACTGGCTGGCTTGTGTTGTGAGGATCGAACCACAGCAACCTGAGCCTGACTGCTTTGTTGAAGCAGCCACATAAAGAACTGAGCTAAGGGGCAGGCCCCCAGATTTTTTTTTTTCAGAACTGGGGATTGAACTCAGGCCCTTGTGCTTGTCAGGCAAGTGCTTATTCTACTGAGCTATCTCCACAGCCCTTGGACTTTTGTTTGGATAAAAAAATCTATGAATTCTGTTATCTCATAGTATTGGCTTATTCCTTCAACAGTCATCATATGAAACATGCATTTCAACACTTTTGAAAATGGATTCTCTTACTACATTAGCATTGCAAGGGATAGATTGTGCTCCCCTACTGAGACAAGTAGCATGCAAGTGGCTATTCATATTTGTAGCAGTCCACAGATTCTCATCTGTGTTTTTTTCATAATTTTATTGACAAACAAATAGCAATGAGACAGTTTCAAATCAAAT